TTTACTTGATGCCGAGGAGTGTGAAGAGGGAGAAGAGGGTACCAATGATTTTAAACGTGACAAGGGTGATGGTGTTAAGGGTCTTAAAATGAGGAGACGTCCAACCTTAGCCCAGGCAGAGGAGGAAATAGAAGATGAAGCGGCTGAGGCCGCTGAACTATGCAGACTACTCATGGATGGTGAGATTTCAAATTGATCAGTATTGTAAAACTTTCTGATATCATTAAATGTAGCAAGAAATGATCTTAAGGGTCAGTGATGATTTTCTAAAATTTGTAACTGAATCCCTAGTTTTTAACTCAGCCAATGGTGGTAGTTGTTATAATTTTTCATGCATTTTTTTACCATTGTTTTATCCAGAGGATGAAGATGAGAGGAAGAAAAAGAAAAAGACTAAATTTGTTGTCGAGGAAGCAGGAGTAATTCCAAAACTACATTCAAGATTTGTCTTTGACAATACAGATCAGATGAAGCAAATAACTAATCCTGTGCAACTAGATGGAGCCAATACATTGAAAGAAAATACAGTTACAAATCTCAGGGAGGTAGAAAACTTTATCTTAGCTACACTGTTCAGTCTCGTGCATCTTGTTTAGCTTACTCATTTTAAAGTTTGCATGGAGTCCCTATGCAAAGGAAGTTCTTTCTGCCAATGAGATTTAACTCTTATTAATATATTATTTCTTTTTGTTGTGTGATCAGGAGGATGGCATTTCTACTAAAAAAAGCAAATCAGTGAAGGTTAATAAACCTAAGAAGACTGACCTTTCACCTATTAGTGTGGCAAATAAGAAAATAAAGTTAAATATTGGGGAACCACCCAAGGTAAGCCATTTGTACTACACACGCCCACACACTATATGACAATGATTTTTTTTTTTTAATTATGAAACTAGAGTTATGTCTCTGAAGAGCGAAACAGTTGCATTCATGCTTGATGCTTGTCTTGCCATTTTAATTGGATGAATCCTCATTGTTTCATTGGGTGTTCCTTTGTTGATAATAAATTGATCTCTAAGGCCTGAAATTAATATATAGGACTCTATCTATTCTATCGAGTACGTCATTTTTTAGATGAAAAAAGATTTTTCTTTATGGGAAGAGAGAATAAAATAAATGGGACAAAAAAGAAAACAATGTAGGCTGGAACTTAAAGAGCTTTCCAATCCCCTTTAAAATCCACCAGGGGCAGCTCTTCCCCTTCGTTTTATCCCAGAAGGGGAAAAAGGAAGCCAACTTAAAAATAATCCTCAAGACTTGGCAGAACGTACAACTGAACCTAACATTCTGTTCTACCCCAACATATCAAAAACTAGCAATGACTGCGCAAGGCTAGAGAACTTTATCTTTCTTTTGCCTCCCAAAACATATGCTTGAAAAGAACAAAGATCTGTTGGACGAACACATTATACAAACCTAAGTTGATGAGGCCATGTTGGCTCTTCAAACCTGAAGCACATTTGTATCATTTCTATTTAGTACTTCTGTCCTGTCAGAAAATCCTTTAGCTTTGAATAGAATATTAAAGGAAGACTGAGCTAGTATAAAATGAGCAAGTCTTTCAGTTAGTTAGGGCTTCACCGTAGCTCGTTTTTATTTGAAGACTTAATCTACTTTAAAAATAATAAATTTGATTCAGATGGTTAGTTGTGTTTTAATGTTTCTATGAATTCGGTTTTGGAGTCATCTTGGACTTTTTAATAGAGTTCATCACTCTCCTGTATCACAATTCGTAAATAGCTTGCAAGTTAGACAGTGCATTTGCTTATTTCTTCACTTGCACTCTCGTCTCCTTGGGCGAGTATCATATCCCAACTTCGACACATTGTCATGGCATAATTATCAATATGTAAAACCAGTAGAAAGCTGTATTATTTACAAGCTATGAACGATGTAGCTTATTTTTCAAACTCTGCATCATGCATGGGACCCATATCCAGTTGATTACAATCTGGGGACGATGGATTTCGGGAAACATGTTACGAAATTTAAACCATGAAGGTTTAGTAAACTAGCGACTGGGCATACATATATATATGTATATATAATTTCTTCAGTTAATAACATGCCTTTGGGAATTTTTGTTCTTGTATTCTTGCCATCAGTTTACTTGAAATTCTGCTTCCTGAAGCATTATGAATTTATGTCTGGAAAGCAGGTATTCAAGGAGAAAAAGCCATCAAGGGAAAGTTTTGTTTGTGGAGCATGTGGCCAGGTATGTATATTCTTGAGCTGGTTAAAGTCCCTTCTAGGCTTTTTCATGTTTTAGAGTGCGTAATTTTTTATTTTTTATTTTTTGCCTTTTTTGTGGATGAACCAGCTTGGGCACATGAGAACAAACAAAAACTGTCCAAAATACGGTGAAGATCCAGAAGCACAGCCTGAATCTACAGACATCGAAAAAACGGGCGGAAAATCAAGCTTGTTGGATGCTTCTGGTCAGTCCCACCATAAAGCTGTTTCTAAGAAGCTTATTTCAAGAAGCTCATCAAAAATTGCTCTGGCTGAAGCTTCTGAGGGAGAAAAAACTAGTTTGAAGACTAAAGTTCTTCCAGTGAAGTTCAAATGCAGCTCCACTGAAAAACCTGCTATTGAAGCCCCACAGAGCTCTGACAAACCAGTCACTTCTGATTCAGAAACTGCCAAGTCTGCTAAGATAAGTAGAATCTTAATTCCCAACAAAGTGAAGTCAGATGATATGCAAGCTGAGTCTCGTAAGCATGGCATTGCCATACGTCCTCCAACTGATCCAAGTAGAAGTCAAGTTGATTCTCATAAGCCGTCAATTATAATTCGACCACCTGCAGAAACAGATAGGGAGCAGCCTCAAAAGAAAATTATTATAAAACGCACAAAGGATGTTATTGATCCGGATCAGTTCAGTCCTGGTGAAAACATGGGATTCGAGCACAGAAAAACGAAGAGAATTGTTGAATTGTCAAATTTTGAGAAGCACAGAAAACATGAGACCATGTATAGAGCTGAAGCCTCACTGGCAAAACAGAAAAGTAAAGAGGATAGAAGATGGTGGGATGAGCAAGAGAAAAGGAGAAAAGAAGAAAGGCTCCGGGAACGGGCAAGGAGGCTTCATGACGAAGAAATGAGGATGCTAAAAGAGCAAGAAAGGTTAGCTGAGTTAAAAAGATACGAAGAAGATATTAGGAGAGAGAGGGAGGAGGAAGAACGGCAGAAAGCAAAGAAGAAGAAGAAGAAAAAGGCCGATTTTAGAGACGGGTATATAGATGACCACAGAACAAGATTTAATAACAGAGTATTAGAAAGAGAACGGAGTGGAAAAAGATCTGTTGTTGAGTTGGGAAGGTATGCAGCTGAATATACACCGCCACCAAAACGACGCCGAGGTGGAGGGGGAGAGGTACATTTCTATACTTCTAAGGTTAAAAAATCTGCAAGCTTTTCGAGGTCTAACAACTTTCATGTAAAAGTTGTAAACCAGTGTTAATTTTGGGATTACTAGCATGCATGTGGCAGATACTTTGGCACTATGTTCATGTTCCACTTAGCATAATGTCTGTTACTCCCAATTTTCCTGTAGGTTGGTTTGGCAAATATTTTGGAGCGCATTCTCGATGCACTCAAAGGACGTTATGACCTGTCATACCTTTTCTTGAAACCCGTGTCCAAGAAAGAAGCTCCCGACTACCTGGACATTATAGAGAGGCCTATGGATCTTTCAAGAATCAGGGAGAGGGTGAGGAATATGGAGTACAAAAGCCGGGAAGATTTCAGGCACGATGTGTGGCAGATTGCGCATAATGCCCACACATATAACGATGGGAGAAACCCAGGAATTCCTCCTCTTGCTGATAAGCTTTTAGAGCTTTGTGATTATTTGTTGAATGAGAATGATGATAGCCTCACTGAAGCTGAAGCTGGTATTGAAACTAGGGATTTCTAGGATATTCTTCGTGTTTAGATCACATATTTTGTGGTGGAGTTTAAGCTTCACATTTAGATCATGTAAAGTGTAGAAGGAATTTTTTTTTATTTTTAAAAAAAAATTCTCTTGTACTTTTTTTATGCAATTATAGAGGGATTAATCTTGTATAGAAGCAAAAAGGCGGGATTGTATCACCATGTAATTTTCTATTTGTATCTGAGAAAGCAAAAAATGCAGCCGTTTTATTTTATTTTCAGGTGGATGCATAATTCATTGGTTATGTCACTTCGTGCCTCCTTGGAATGATATACGTTTGTTAAAATTAGAATATCATTACCCTAATCATCGTAGTTTCGCATAACGAAACACCAAGCCTATTGCACTAGAGAACTCGAGCAGTGGCATTTCACTTCAGAACGAGCTCCAACAGTAACTTTGTGGTGTAAAGTGGAAGCACTGGAAAAAAAATTATTTTGCTCAAATATTTATTTTATATTACCTCTTGTTCTAATTATAAGACCTAATTGACTAATTTGAGGAGATTAAAAAAATAAGTTAAGTTAGTTATTTGTAATAAATATGTGTTGTCTTTCTTAAAATATTCTTGCTAATCAATTATATTAGTTAGAACTATTAATATTAGAATGAATATTTTAGAAGAAAAAAATATAAATATGAGAGATAAAATAAATTGGAATCTTATATTTAAGATCAATATAAAAGTCAAATAAGGTTTTATATTAAGGATTGGAGGTAGGATGTTATAAAATTACTGTTAAAATTATAATTTGGTTATATATATATATATATATATATATATATATATAGTGAAAAGTCTGAAGTTGTTGCAAAAATGGCTGTTCTGAATTTTTTTGTCTGTTTATCATCAGGGGCAATTAGATCATCTCATAAATCTATAGCGTATTTTCAAAATTAATTAGTATCTCATTTTTATATGTCAAGTAACGAGGGGGAAATGCCCATAATGACATCTCTGTTGCCAACGATGCGAAGCGAAATAACCAAATTTCCATTTCTAACCAAAACAAAACGAAGCTACACAAAGAATCCCAATGACTTCTCAATTTAATTCAATGGCTCAGAAAACATCTGGTATTAATATTATGCGTAATTTAACGCCGCCATCTATTTTGCTTCGGATTCTAACTGGTGGCCCTCTTACTAGATCGTCTTCTTCAACGTTTTCAAATTTCAAACTGTCTTCGTTCTTCCCCAACAGCTACACATTGTTTTGAATTAAAAAAAAAAAAACTAGACATTGTACCGGAGGTGCGCTTGTCCTCTTCGAATCAAGTTGAAACTCTGAGCTCTAGTTTCTCAGTTCCATTATCGTTCCAGACTCATGTGATTTAGTGCACGAAACATGTCACTTCTCAGCAGATTCTTTTACAGGAGACCCCCCGATGGTTTGCTGGAATTTGTCGATAGAGTATACGGTAAATACCGAACCCTTTATTTCAATTTTTTGTTTTTGAAGTATCTGCATTTCTTAGAAGTCATGTGCTTTCTTGGATATTTGTCATATGCAGTCTTCGATTCATGCTTTTCCACTGAGGCATTGCCTGATGGAATGTACCAAATATATTTACATGAAATCATTACCGAGTTACATGAAGAATTCCCGGACTCTTCCTTTTTCGCTTTTAATTTTCGTGAGGGGGAGAAACGGAGTCAATTTGCTGAAATTCTTTGTGAATACGATGTTACTGTGATGGATTATCCGCGACAATATGAGGGTTGCCCTATTCTTCCAGTGTCTTTGCTTCAACATTTTCTCCGTGTTTGTGAGAGTTGGCTTTCACTTGGGCATCAACAGAATGTCATCCTTCTCCATTGTGAGAGGGGAGGTTGGCCTCTCTTGGGATTTCTTTTAGCTAGCTTTCTAATTTATAGAAGACTACACAGCGGTGAACGGAAGACGCTTGAAATGGTGCACAGAGAGGCACCCAAAGGTTTCTTACAGCTGTTGTCGCCTTTGAACCCGTTGCCATCTCAACTTCGTTATGTTCAGTATGTAGCAAGAAGGAACATAGCTCCTGAGTGGCCGCCGCCCGAGAGAGCTCTTTCTCTAGATTGTGTCATTCTCAGAGCCATTCCTAGTTTTGATTCCCAGAACGGATGCAGACCCGTGATCCGCATTTTTGGTAGAAATTTTCTCAGCAAGGGTGGGCTTTCTACTCAGATGCTCTACTCCATGCACAAGAAAAAGAAAACTTTAAGGCACTACCGTCAGGTGTGCCTTTTTCTAACCTACATATCCTGTAATGCTTAGCTTATTGCATTAACTTATACCCTATTAACTGCTGCTAGAATTTATTTTCTCTTATATCAGGCAGACTGTGATGTGATCAAGATTGACATACAGTGTTTAGTACAAGGAGATGTGGTATTGGAGTGCGCCCATTTGGACTTGGATCCCGAAAGGGAAGTAATGATGTTTCGCATAATGTTCAACACAGCATTTATTCGATCCAACATATTGATGCTGAATACTGAAAACCTGGACATTCTCTGGGACTCAAAGGAGCGGTACCCAAAAGGCTTCCGAGCTGAGGTGAGTACCTATCTATTTATAATTGTGTGAAAAGCCTAAATATTGAATGCTCACGGTTATATTTTTCTTGTAAAATGGGGAAGATATGTAATAATGTAAAATCTTGAATTTTAGGTTTTGTTTGGGGAGATTGAAAGCATATCTCCTCCAAAAGCCCCAACCACTGTGTTAAATGGTGAGGAGAAAGGCGGATTGCCCATTGAAGCATTTTCAAGGGTTCAAGAACTTTTTAGTGGCGTCGAGTGGCTTGACAGTGGTGAAGATGCTGCAGTCTGGTTGCTTAAACAACTTTCTGTGTTGAATGATGTCAAAGAGCTTTCAAGGTTGCAAGGTAAAACAAGTTGGTACTCGTCACCTGCTGACTCTGAAGATGAAAATAATGAATCAAGCACTGCTGATAGTTCAGATGAAGCCTTTGATGTTATTCCAAAGTCTTTTACTGATATTTCCAAACTATTGACGCCTGACAACCCTGATTCAATCCATTTAGATTTTGAAAATGATGGTAGGAAAGATATACATCTTACTTCAGAACCTTCAGATCCATCGATTGAAAGTGTTTCAGTGTCTCATCATGCTCACAGTTCATCTCCACCGTCAGCTCCTCCACTTTGTCCGTCTCTTTCTAATATCAGTGGAGATCCTTGCATATCTCCTATAGCATCATTAGCAAATTGCCAGATCCCAATACCGCCCCCTCCACCACCTCCTCCGCCTTCACCTCCATCTGCCTCTTGCAAAACTTTGCTACCACCCCCACTAAGCCCTTATCAATCCACTTCTAATCAACAAACATTGCCACCTCCCCTACCCGTGCTGGGGAGTGAAATGAATGAGGTGCCACAACAATCATCACAACCACCGCCACCGCCACCGCCTCCGCCTCCGCCTCCACCACCAATGCCACCTGCACTATCAAATAGTTTAATTTCATCTAATGCTAAGCCTCTCCAAGTAGCAAGACCTCCACCACCACCTCCTCCTCCTCCTCCCACCTATCCCACACCAACTCATACACCTAAACCACCTCCACCTCCTTTTACAGTAAAGCCCTCAAATGCTTCTCTTCCACCGCTAGCGCCTAGTCAAGGCACAATACCACCTCCACCTCCCCCACCACCACTTAGTCGAGCTGCACCCCTACCCCCACCCCCACCACCTAGTCGAGGTACAATGCCGCCTCTGCCTCCGCCTCCACCTCCACCACCTCCACCGCTTGGTCGAGGCACAACGCCATCTCCACCTCCTCCTCCACCACCACCGCCGCCACTACCTGGTCGAGGTGAAACACCGGCTCCGCCTCCACCACCACCTAGCCAAGGTGCAGTGCCTCCTCCGCCTCCTCCACCGCCCCCACCTGGTCGTGACACAAAGCCACCTGTACCGCCATTGCCTAGTCAAGGTGCAGCACCGCCTCCACCTCCTCCACCACCACTTGCTCGAGGTGCAGCACCACCTCCACCTCCTCCACCACCACTTGCTCGAGGTGCAGCACCACCTCCACCTCCTCCACCACCACTTGCTCGAGGTGCAGCACCACCCCCACCTCCACCACCTAGTCGGGCTGTAGTGCCTCCACTACTTGGTCGAGGTGCAACACCACCTCCACCTCCACTACCTGGTCGAGGTGCACCACCACCTCCTCCCCCTGTTGCAGCAAGGGGATCTGGTGTTCCGCCACCACCCCCATCCATTGCCAAAGGCAAGCCTTTAACATCAAATCTTGGAAGAGGTCGAGGTTCTAGTGGGACTGCTATTGCCCCTAAGAAAGCATCGTTAAAGCCCCTACATTGGGTGAAAGTTACACGAGCAATGCAAGGAAGTCTATGGGCTGATTCATCAAAACAGGATAATCAATCAAGGTACTGAGTAGTGAGTGTTGAACCGAACAGACGCTGCACTTGATTTTCTAGAAATCAAGTCATAAGTTCTAGCCACTAGGAAGTTATAAGAAAAATTATTGTAATCATGTTTTGCACCCTTGTTGCCTAATTTGTTTTCATCTTCTCTCTGTTTTCCTTTGGTTAGGACCCACAAGGGTCTGATGCAATGATCATCTTAGAATGTCTGATTTTTTATGTGCTTCTGTTAGGCCCCCTGAAATTGATATATCAGAACTTGAGAGTCTGTTTTCAGCAGCGTCTGCTTCTGATGTCAGCAGTACTAAAGGTGCCGGTCGGCGTGGTTCTAATATCAATAAACCTGAGAAAGTTCAACTGGTATGTTACCCCTTAGTTGGCATTTATGTATTAGGTGTGACGGTAGTCAATATATTTTCTTTTCCAATCCATTTGTGTTACAATCAAATCTGACTACATCAATTGTGTGAATGTACTGCTGTCATCATTTCATGATTTTGCATAATGTGGCATTATTTTCTTAGTTCTCAAATGAAGTTTGACCAGCTATTTCTTAAGAGGTGATATCCATGATCAACCTCGAATGTCCGAAAATGACAATGAAGAGGTGGTAATTATTGCTTTTGCTTTGATGTATTGGTATATTTGATTTGACATCAAAGAAGCACAAAACAGAATTACTTTAGACCAATTCTTTTGGTTGTAAGAGATATTTATATTTGCTATCAGTATTATAAAAATATAAAATTAGTAAATGAGAAAGGAAAAGAATGAAAATATTTGTTTGCCAAAGTGTGTTATCTTGGAAATCTAGATATAAAATCGTATTTACTACTTGCAGTTGCTAGGGATGCAAGGTATGGTACTTTAGAGCATGATCTTGAATTTGTCGTCAATATCAAATGTCAAAGCTGATTTTTTTAATGATATTGTTTTATTTCCTTGCTCTGACATGAAGTTGTTTATTGTTTGTTTGTGTTTATCATTGTATGTGATTATAAAAGAAATATACTCAAGTTTGTTATGTTCTTCTTGCTATCAGATTGACTTGCGAAGAGCATATAATTGTGAGATAATGCTCTCTAAAATCAAAATTCCCTTGCCAGACATGCTTGTAAGTTGTCTAATCTTCTTCATTTTCCCTTGTTTTGGGATCCTATTGTCAACTGGCATTATATCTTTCATCTTAGCTTCAGAAGTTTATCTCAATCACAGCACATTGCAATCTAAAGTTAGTTAGATTCACCCTAAAACTTTGAGCACATTCATTCACGTTATATTGGAGAAATCATACGTTTTTGACAATGTTTTCTGAAGGAATAAATGTGAGGAATATGTCCGTCAAGTTTCAGAACTACAGATTTCATTTTTCTTGATGGTGTAGTAAAACCTTTAAGCTAGAGGTCTACAACAATTAGGTCCTCAAAGAGCTCCAGCTTGCTATAGTATAATAAGCTTGTGCAATTGGTGTTGTCAACCCTTATTTAAGATTTTGACGTTTAAACGTCAAATAAGTAGTGTTGGAGTTATGATGAGTAATGGCTTCTTCATTGCTTGTTTTAGGAGAAATCTTCTTTTTTTCTCACATTTTTATCTTTTCTGTATAAATTATGTATATTTGCGTGAGTAACATATTTTTGATAAATTATGCCCACTTAAAAAGCTTATTGCTTTACTCGGTGGTTTCTCAGTTGGCATGTTTGTTTGCTGGATGTCTCAACAGTTCAAGTGTGGGAAACTATGAAATGGTGTTGATCATTCTTGCTGGGAAGGATCCTGTCAATATTTTCCCATGTATTAGAACCAAAATGAATGTAATGTAAAAAATATCAACGAAAATCTATATCTCTAATTTATTGATGGTCTCGATTATTAATTCTTAAGTTAAGCTCTTTACAATTGTTATTTTTGCATGTTTTTTCTAGATGTTGATATTCTCATGAGTTTAGCCGTCTATCCCTATGATTTGTCGAGTCTTATGTCTTTGCCGGATGTCTCAATTTTAAGTGAGGCAATCAACTGGGATTAACTGAGGTTTATAATTATAATTAACTGGGATATGCTAGACTTAATTTTAATTGAATTAAATTGCATGTATTATGCACCAATTAACTAAGATTGTTAATATTAATTGATTGATCTAATATTAATTTCTATGTTAGTTTTTTCAAGTTAGATTAACTCTCAGTTGTTTCTTCAACAGTTTATTTTTATTTTATACTTTTTCTATTTGTTGGTGTGCTCATGGATATTGTTACCTGGTCTTGCAGAATGCAGTTCTGGCATTGGATTCATCTGCTTTAGACATCGATCAGGTTGAGAATCTTATTAAGTTCTGTCCCACAAAGGAAGAGATGGAAATGTTGAAGGTACTTCCCCTCCTCTTTTGCCTCTCAGGAATCTGTCGCATGATTGTGAACATCAATGCGTGACTTTGTTCAACATCATGTATTTCATGTTATTTCAGTATTTCAGTAAATTGTTGTTTCCAATGTTTTAAACCTCATTTGCATCTCATCTGCTTCTATCTTATTTGTAGTTCACATCATTGTCTTGCTATCTTTGCCTATTAACTCATTTTTTTAGGGTTTAAACTTTAAAATATTATTGACTTATGTTGACGTGTCCCATTTAGATCAGAAGTTCAAAAGTGATGGTAAGTTATTGATATATACTTTTTAAGTAAATTATGAACCTTCTTAATGGCGCATCACTCAGGAAAATTTGTCAAGGGGAAGCTTCAGACTCTATAAACTGTATGATATGCTGTTTTGTAATAAGCCTGCCGGGCTTCTTTAAAAATAATTGCGTACTAAATCTGTGTATTTGGGCAATTATCTTGTTAAACTGTGTTTTTTACTAAAATTATTTCTCGTTTCAGAATTACACTGGGAACAAGGAAATGCTTGGAAAGTGTGAGCAGGTTCTCTCTTTTGAATAGGTTTCAGTTTTTGAAACCATGCAAATTGTGCAGGGGTTTCTAATAAAATCATTATTTGGTATCTATCAGTTTTTCATGGAGTTGATGAAGGTTCCACGAGTAGAAGCTAAATTACGAGTTTTTGCTTTTAAAATCACCTTTTCTAGTCAGGTATGTTATCTAGCTTATGGAGGGCTGTGAATGATTTTGCATTACTAGTGTTATTGGTGTTCATTCATGCTTAAATTCTTTTGTTTCTCTTCTTCAGGTGAATGATTTGAGATTAAATTTGAACACAATCAATGATGCTGCCAGGGAGGTATGGCTAGGGCTTTTTTTTGTTCTTTTTTTCCCTAAAAACCAAAGGTATGGCTAAGTTTAATGGCTCCGAGTTAACAGACATGAAGGTATCATCTGACCACATCTCCATGTTATTGCTCATACTTGCAGGTGAAAGAATCTATGAAGTTGCGTCAAATAATGCAGACTATTCTTACTTTGGGCAATGCCTTAAATCAGGGAACAGCACGAGGTATATGTTATTAGATCTAATGTTGTATCATGATCTGACATGGAGCTTTTATGCATAGCTCCTCTGACTCAACATATTTCTACAACTAGAGTTTTGCTTATATTTTTCTCTGTTGCATGTTGCAGGATCTGCTGTAGGATTCAAATTAGATAGCCTTCTTAAATTATCTGATACTCGTGCAAGGAATAACAAGATGACTTTGATGCATTATTTGTGTAAGGTAGGTAAGGCGGAAGCTTTGGCTAATGCATATTGCATGAGTTCTGTTAAGACTCCATACGTTATCTAACTCCCATTTAATGACTTTGCTGTATTCGTTTACTTAAATGGTATTTATCTGAACAAATCTTAATTTTCCGTTGCAATTTCTGTTTGTTTGACCTCATATGAGTCCCCCTCCCCCCCCCCCTTTTTTTTCTCTCCTTTTTTTGCCATCTTTCATTGAAGTTTGAGTTCCTTTCTGGTCTTTGTAATCTGCTATTACTAGCCTGTTTGGGATAGCATCTAAAAGTAGTTATAAGCATGTTTCACGTAAGCTGAGACAAAATTCCTCTCATATACTTACCTCGTATTTTGTAAATTACTATTAAAAAGCTACTTATAAGCTATTTTAAACGGGTTATACTTAGAAGAGTAAAAAAAATCTAACTTTTTTTTTCCATTGATATAATCTCTCATATGATGTCTTACAACGTTATATTCTTCTCTTACTAGCTTCTTTCTGAGAAAATGCCAGAATTGCTAGATTTTGGCAAGGATCTTGTTCACTTGGAAGCAGCTTCGAAGGTATTCTTTTGTACCTCGAACCTCCCATCTATTGATGTAAGATATATTCCAAATGTTTTGTAATTATTAGTTGTCTGTGAACTTGTGCCTTCTATGTCCAACATCTAGATCCAACTAAAAGCATTGGCTGAAGAGATGCAAGCGGTTAGCAAAGGTCTGGAAAAAGTTGAGCAAGAGCTTGCTGCTTCAGAAAATGATGGTGTTATATCTGCAGGCTTCCGTAAGGTGAGAAAGTGCTGGCTTCTACAGTGAGAGATTTATTGCTACCCCTATATATATGTTCTCTCTAGCTTTAGAGAAAACTTGAATATTTGCCCCATCCAAACCACCATATCAAAACTGATGCTTTGATTTCTGTAAATGATTATAATATGATCAATGGCTGCTAGTTATCCTGCACTAGTTAACTAAATCCCTTTTTCTTTTTTTTGGGGCATGGCATTAATAGACCTGATTAGACTAATATTCGTTGTTTCTCCAAGTCTTAGAATTTGCTAAAGAATCTTTTTCTCAAAGTTGAATAATATGATTACCCTAAGGCGAACCATCATGGAGCAAGGGATGGCTGCCTATATATTGCTTGATAAGTTAATTAGCGCCTTACTCACGATCTTCTTACAATAAGTACTATGTTGGTTTAACTATGATGTTTCTCTTCTCAGGTGTTGAAGAATTTTCTTGATATTGCTGAGGCTGAAGTGAGGTTACTGATATCATTGTATTCTGAAGTTGTAAGTCTTGTCAACAGAATTTTTCCCTACATCCTTTTAATCTGATGCTCCTTCTGATGGGGGAGATTGACTAGGATGATGCCTGATGAAGGCCAGGCTTTTGTACTAATGGCACCATCCATAATTGATGCCTAAATAATCCGAATCGGGCCCTGGCCTTAACAGATAAAAGAAGAGAAAGCCAAAACTATAAAAGAGAGACTAGAAAACGCTTCTTGAAGCCATGATCTTGTGACCTTGTGGCATGGAGTTCACCCTTCGTGACAAGTCGTGGGTTCAATCTGGCCTGCTACTTAAAGCGTTTGGCTTGCCTCGTATATTCAAACAGAAGAAGAGGCTTCTTGAAGTGTCATATTCCTCCGGTATTAAATATAAGACCCACTTTGTAGTGTAATTTACACTACAAAGTGGGTCTTATATTTAGGACCGGAGGAGTATCATGTATATACTGTTTTTTGTACATTGTTTGAAATGTGTAGTTTAACAATGTTTTGTTTAGTAGGATATCTTGGAAAATAACATGATGGCATGGCTCTTAAAAAGGCTTATTGAACGGAAGCTTAAATAATTGGAGTATGGTTATCAAAAGTATGCCAAAAGATCATGAATCTACAATCTTATGATACTCTGAATCGTGTTTAGTAATTTTTCAATTTATATATAATCCTTTATATCGTATGTTCCCTGTTTTATGTTTAACCTAGTCTGTCCCATGTGAATAATTCCTCCCAGTCATAGCCTGAACTGGGTTAATAATCTCGTGCGCCAACTGCTCCTTAATTCTGGGCTTGGTCTTAATAATCTCTTTCAGGGAAGAAATGCAGATTCTTTGTCCCAGTATTTTGGCGAGGATCCAGCTCGGTGCCCCTTTGAGCAAGGTCTGATGTTTTCCTGAATATACCCATATGCATCTGGACCTAGGTTTTTTACACTCTCTCTTTTGCGGGGCTGTGTTGTTGTCTTTTATCAGTCTAATTATTTCTGAGGAATCAAGAATGATATTAAAATTTAAACACACACACACACACGAGAGTTGACTGCAAAGGCACAACTAAAGATCTCAGAAAAATCATCTAAATTTATCATGGTGAACTCTGATGATATGTTTGGGTATGCCACGGAATTTATATTGGTAGTCTGTTAAAGCTTGTTGTTGTCACATAAATATGAAAAGAATTATAAGTAATCTTTTTCTCCCCCCTTCTGGTATTTTATGCGTCTGGGTTCTTTCATCTTGAATTTCATTTCAAGTACTTTCATGAATATTACGAGATTTCTGATCTTGATGATCACTGCTTGAATGGTGCAAAAGATGAGGAGAGAGAAATATGCATATATATTTTGCTTTCCAAAAGCATGAGAGGAAAGCCATTATTGCTACATCTTATTTGCACTCCCAAGACATTGTAAGCTGCAATATTATATTTAGAGGTGTTCAATTGTGTCCATCCCAGCATCTCGTCCCTGTCCCAGTCCCCAAAAGTTTTTTGGACAGGATGAAAGCTGGCGGCACAAAATTGTTTCAGGACACAGATGAGTATTTCGTCCCGGTCCCATCCTAATATATCATCTCTATTTTAAATTGTTATAGATTTATTTTATTTATCATTGTAATAGTATTTTGGTAATGATATTTATCAATTGTTATTTTTTTTATTTGTTTATGTATGGGTTACATGATATTTGTTGTGGTGAACATTTTAAGTTTGTTTATTTTTTGTCTCTCAAGATTTTAAAAAACATTTTTCTTTGCCACTATTTCCTCATTTTTTTCTATTTTCTTCATATAGTTTTTATCATATACTTCATGCATAGTTAGTTTTCAAATTTAAAAAAATAAAAAAAATCTAAAAAAAGATCAGACGTCCTTGTTCTGTCCTGATTGGGATGGGACGGGAATGAGACAAAAAAGCTGTGCCATCCTAATAATTGGGACGGAATCGGGACCTGGGTCGTCTCTGTCCTGTCTCGTCTTATGAATACTCCTAATTATATTATAGGCTTTCCGCCTAACAACATATGATTTGTGGATTCTGTAGAAACGGAAACTGCATGAAATGCACAAACATGTGAAGTTCTTTGCTACGGTCATCTGAGAAATTTTCAAAACCATAGGCGGGAAGATCCATTCCATATTGATTGACTTTAAAGCTTCTTCTTCTTTTTTTTTTGTTATTTGTTTTTTGTGCCTCTCTTAATTGTTTCCTTGTGCCATGGCTGGGCCTCATTCTTGTGATGCAACGCAAAGCAGTTAGGCATATATGACATGATGAGTGTTAACCTCATGCAGAACTTGTGATCGTCTTAATTGTGTCTTTTGAGCATTATATTAATTATTGAAGTTGCGTGTGGTCTGTGGTTGCAGTGACTCAAATCCTAGTTGTCTTCGTGAAGATGTTTAACAAATCAAGGGAGGAGAACGAAAGGCAGGCAGATGCCGAAAAGAAGAAACTGGAGAAAGAAGCCATGAAGGAACAGCGAACACCTGTAAATACAAATTTGAAAAAAGATGTTCACTAGATAATTGACAAGAAGAAAGAGGCATTAAACTGTTGGCTCACCTTCTTAAAGTTCACGGATGTGTTCATCAGACTTTGAAGTCGGATCTATTCCTTTTGAGAGGAGACACGGAGTGAAGAATCCTTCCTGATTGTTGGATCTCCGTTTACTTCCCCATTTGCTGGCAAATGGGATATACCAGCAAGCTGTTTTCTGATGTAATTATGCTACAAGCCAGCCTTTTTGTAGCAAAGTCATTATATCATCCCTCTAACTGAGAGGCTCGTATTATTTTTTTTAATTCCATTTCTTGTAAGTACCAATCTGAAGAGAAAAAAAAGCTCCATTTGTAACATAGCTGCTGATAGAAATTCAGTTTTTTTTTTGTTTGTTACAGGACGTGATATTTTGATGTATATTATTTATCTTTACCTTTGCAGCCCATAATTAACTTTTTTTTTTAGACATTTAGAAAAGTTGTATAAATGAAAAGCAGTCATCCTCGAGAAATTTGAAGGCATACTACAATCTTGCATGAGTTGAACACGACTGAATGAATGAAAAAAATGGTTCGAGTATATTATTCAGAAGTAAAAATTACAGATCATTATTAAGGATGGGGGAATACTGTCTTTATTAAAGTGAAATATGTCTTTAATATTTTTTTAGTCTTTAAAAAACACATTTAAAAAAAAAGAATTATTAGCATGTGAGGCTATTGACCTATTACTGTTGCTGGCACTCAAGCCATGGACATTACAAAAGAATGTAAGCTATAATTTGCATCATCAAAATGGATGATATTACTAAAGATCTTATTGACAGATAATCTGTAAATATCTCTTTTAATGCTTTTTGAACATGAAGATATATTCTAATTCTAGTGAATCTTAAGACCCAACTTATCTAAATTTAAATTTTCAAAAAAAAAAAAAAAGATGATGTCCAACACATTACAAGTTTTGTGACGAAAATATTCAAGCATGGATTGTGACAAGGCTTTTGTCAAATAGTGTATCATTTTTTAAAACTTCATAATTGAGTTACGTTGCCAACTGGCTTCGGCCATTTTCGTTTATCAGATTCTTTTTCCTTAAAATTTAATTGAAAATATCAGACAATTGCGAAAGCATTCAAAATAAATGGACAAATCCTTTGCGACGTGTTCTTCTATTTGCGAGCAATATGTGAGAAAGGTCATTTGGGCATGTCTGTTTAGATTGTAAAAATAAATATGTTTATCATATACCGGTTTCATTAATTTTTAAAAGCTAGTTGAAATAACTTCTCAAAATAATCAGAAATTTATTTATTTATTTAGATTCTGATTATTTCTAAACATTTAAACAAACGTCCTAAATTAAAAGCGTTTTCTTCACCCAAAAAAAAGAAAGATAATAATAAGTGATTTCAACAGAGTCCTGTCCTGTTATGAATATTTCAACCATTCATGCAGTGACCATTTGAATAATCATGGAATTCTGACAACCTCGTATTCATGAGCAATTCTCAAGGGTGACTGCTTCGAAACAGGCCTGCTCTCTGACCAAAGCTCCAAGTTGACAGTCCCAGATTCCCAGTGAATAAGACACTTGAATACCTCGTTTGCATTGAATCGGTTGACCAGTGCCAGACCAAGACACTTATCAATGAGCATCCACTCACCTGAGATCACAGTCACCATGAGAATTTTTATCCAGAAATATTTAAAGACGTGTTTTTTTTTTTTTTGGGAAAAAACGAAGAAGCTTAGACAGATATAACAAGACAAAACGAAAGAGTGTTTAAGGGAAAAAAAAAGGCATTATACTTCATGCTTTGATCCGTCAAAAGATTTCTGGGTAGTAATGGGTAAGTCAAATGGTAAATAAACTTAGATTATCACCATTAGGAAGAAGGTCCCCTTCAAAAGATTTCTCCCCGTATTCTGGAAAGACTTCATGCTTTGATCCATCGACTGAAGTAAATGAGACGTGAGACTCTAAGGGATGCAAGAGATTGAATGTTGGGTGAACTCTTAAGCAGACCAACCTACAATAAATATGAGGGAGCACTCATAATTTAGAATATCTGAAGAGTGGTAAAAAATGTATAAAATTAAGACTACACGCTGTCACAAAGAAAATGAAATTGATGAGCTGGTTCAGTGCACAACACAGTGAAAAACAGATCTTGTACACAGAGAAGCTACTGTTGTCACACAGACAAATGCCGAGATAAATTCAGCTTGATGTTTATTATATCATATATGTAATGCTACTGATGTCTGTATCAGAGAGAAGCTGTCAGATAAAACCTTGAGAACCCTCCGGAACCAGCACCAACACTGCGAGCCAATATGCTAGAGTCTATCCGGAAAACTTCGGTAGCATCCTTTGGAAAATAAATCTGCCTTTGGAGAACCAATCCCCCACCAATATCACACTCTAATAAGAGAGATTCCTTCTCTTTTGCATGTTCAAGTTCACGACTGCAAAAGATGAAAACAAGAAGAAATGTAAACAAAACCCTGACAACTTCTCAAGGTTTGAAACTATGTGCAAGGATGTACAGTGGATTCTGCAGCTTTTCAGCAATGAAATTTCCTCAACAACGACATGCGGAAAGGAGACTTACTCAATAACAGAGTACTCCTCAGTACACCCAGCGGAACGATACTCTGTACCACTATACTCCTCATACCCGTTGATCTCAATCCTGCTATGGAGCCACTGTGTGCCTGCGAACAAAATGTAAATCATCAAGCAATTTAGAAAAATATTAGAAACAATATAAACAGTAGATCTAGTTGGCATAAGAAAATCTGACACCCTTTATTTTAATATGGATATCAATCGTAAATCATCAAGCAATTTAGAAAAATATTACAAACAACATAAAATAGTACATCTAGTTGGCATGAGGAAACCTGACATCTTTTTCATTTAATATGGATACAACAAAAAGCACCAACGTTTCAGGAACTATCATCCAAAGAGGAATTTTATAATTACTAAGTCCAGATTGACTAGTTAAGATATGCTATGTACATATTCAGACGAGAGGGAAAAATTCTTCACGCTTAATGGCAGCAATGTTACACAAGAGGAAATCTAAGAAACGGGAACTTCAAAACGGCGGAAGTTACATGAACTGTTATTACCAAAAAATAAAAAGTTAAACGAACTGTGTGTACATTTCCATTCTAAAAAATAAAAAATTTTGGTCTTTGTAAGAAAAACTCAGATAACTTGATGACAAAAAATCAATTCTACCGGTAGGAGTGTGCATCATGGAGATGATTCTACCCCCAATCCAGGGGACGACTTTAAGATCCCAACCACCGCTCTTCAATTCAATGGGAGATTTTGACAGCTCTGTTCCCTTCGGTCCAGAAACCATTTCCACATCAGGAATTTGAATAGCACTGTCTGCAAAATGTTGAGGGAACATAGCACATCTTAAAAAGGAATTGATATCATGAAAAAGTTATTTGGACATTGCAATCCCTTAAAGAAGCAAGGGTCTTTAAATATGTTGTGACGCATAAGTTAATCTCATTCATTAGACACAAAAAACTAGTGAGCACAAAGGATAAAGACTGTAACAGGAGGACAAAGATTGTAACAGCGGAGAAAAGGTTGAACAAGAAAATAGAACTTATAGGCATAATATAAGCTTCAAATGTTTTCGAAGGAATACATACCCAGTCGATTCTTGTATAGCTTCTCACCAGTAGATACCAGCTGACATACCTCCTCTTTTGAAGGCAACATTAGTTGCAGAACTTCTCCATCCATTCCCCATGTGTCAAGCTGCTCAGTAAATTCAACTCGATACAAGTATTCGAGTCAGGGATGCAGCAAAAATTAAAATGAATTAACCGAGGATGTTCTCACAGTTTACAACTATATTAAAATTGCATATTCTTTGTCTTTCCTATCAAAAGGGAACCTCATACCATTGCACCCCCACCAAGCAACAACTGAACATGCAGGCGTCTTTTTGGTCTGTCCCATGATCCTTGAGTTTTGTGTACACTCACAGTAACAGCTGATGATTGAAGTTCAGCCACGTAATGGGTCAATAAGTATTCGCCTTTAGTGAATTCATATCCATCACCATCATCCTCAAATAGGAAACCTTCAGCTTTCCCTGTCAATAATTAATATTATCCTTAGAGCTGCTGTAAGTAAAGTATTAATCTGAAGAGTAGAGACCATATTAATTGTTTTCATGAAAGCTCGTCAATTGCCAAGTCATGAATGAATTTGTGGATGGTGGCATTAAAAAAAAAAAAAAAAAAAGGAATGAAATTATGGACAGTGGACTTACCATGCTCATCTAAAGCCACAAGAAGTGTCAAGTCATCTGATAGATTGGCTTCGCCAACATGCTGAATAGCAGGGCCGACAGGTATAATTGAGCCACCTTTTAAATATAAAGCTGGTAAATCCTGGAATATCCCCAAAATGGTGAAAATTAGAAGGAAAAAAGGATTTGGTACATAACAATACAACAAAACAAATATCAAATAAAACAAGTAGTCGTACCGGATGTGCATCACCAAAATCAAAACCCAGCCATATACCCTTTGGCAATGCACACTCCAAGTTATTCAACCCTTGGCTGGGTGAGGTTCTGATGAAGTTGGAAAAAATAATGAAAGAAGTTGTATCAGTACATTTATACACAAAATGGGAATATCAAACGTTGAAAGCCCAGCAATCCAAACAAGGAACATAACAGGTCCTGAGACCACAATGCTTGTATAGATTTCACAGGAGGAATAAATATTGACAACATTACATTTTCAGATTATAGCATCCATATCAGATAAGGTGCAACCTACTTTAATGAGAGACAATAAGATACAGAATCCATCATGGGAGGAAAACATCAGAAGCTAACAGTAGTTGTCAATAGACATAGAGAATATGGGGACAGATAACTGAAAAATAGCATAATTCCTGTGTACACAGCTATTATTGAATACAACATTTTCCGCCTATAAAAAGGAGGATGAATATTAATGTCACTGAATGTGGATTTACAATGAAGACTAGTGAATTCGATATAATTTTTATCAAAAGTAGAGGTAAATTTCATTCACTATCCCCCTTTCTTCAACAAGTAAAAAGTCATAATTTTAACCAAAAAGTGGTGGCAAGTTGGCAGAAACCTAGTAACCTAGTAGCGTACATAATAGCACTAGGAAAACCGACCTACTTCCCACCAAGACATTAAAAAAGAAAAAGGCGGAAAAAAAAGG